GCACGTAACTGAATTCGTTAGTCGATTAATATAAAGTGAGTCTATGTAAATGTAACGAGTTGTGTGTAAATCATTCAGTCGCAGTTTGTATGTTGCACCAACAAGCGTAGATTTAATATAAAGCCGTTTATTTTGAAATTCCTGCTTAAAGAATAGTGTACATATGGATGAAATGCGTAAGTACTAGATTCTGTAGCAAGTGAATGCGAATTTGTGTTTTGTTCACCAGCTAGTGACAGCTAGGTAACGAAGTGCATTACTTAAACATCTGGTTTCAAAGCCGTAAAAACTCTGTGCTATTAACATAACGAGAGAAAAAAGACTACTCTTGTTAGAAAGGGCGAGCTTAACCGGTTGCCTAAATACAGGTAATGCATTTTTTGTTGTCTTGTGATCACAGTATAGTAGCAGCTTAAATGAATTGAATTACTAGGTCTTGTCCGTGACAATACACGTTTTAAGAAGGTCTATTGTATACTGGTAAGGAATTTGTCTGCTTGTAAACTCAGAGAAAATTACTTACATGTCTCTACCAGAATACGGGACAGAATCAATATGAAGCTCTATCGAAACCATGGCAGAGTTCAAGTATGGTATTTGGGGACGATAGTAACGAATCAGAATTGCATTTACTATTAAATTAAGAGCTGACAAAATTCTGGGAACTCTTCAGTTCAGGATCTTTTGTATTCCTTCGCATATGCTATCGAAAAACGTAAATATGGAAACAAAACTGCAATTCTCTCCCCCCACCCCAGAAATGTTTACTACGTTTAGGGTTTTTTCATTATCTCCATGGCCTATTAATAGTAGGTGAAGAGTAGAACTGTGAATGCCGTAATTTTACTTGATTCTGGAGAGGTACTGAATAATACATTTATTAGCTGAGAACGAAATGTTTTTTTCCTTGGTTCGTTTAACGACACTTTATAAACAGCAGAGGTATTATTGCGTCGAATGAAATTGTGAAACATGTATTAGGAAGGATATGGACGGAAGCTATTGTAGATTTGTGTGGTATTATCCCAGTATATGAACATCCTCCGTCAGACCGGGTTGGGAATCAGGAGAGCTGAATATTCGACGTCGACGATAGTACTGTTGGACACAGAAAGTAAAGAATACAAACAAAGATTTACAAACTTTACCTTGCTTGATATTCATACAATTTCACAAAAATCAGGCACTGAATTTGAATCACATTGTATTAATTTTTCGGGGGGGGACAGACACCAAGCTCCCTAATACGTTTACAAAGAAGGGAGGATTATTCGAAACCCCACTGATTATGTTTCCTGTACGACCTGCTAACCACAAAATATTTTATGTACAATTCACTAGGATACTGCTACTTCCAACTGTCTTATCCAGTCTAGTTTACAAAGTAGTTTTGAAGTTTCGCTGTTATATACACTTCTTCATGGCGTATCAGGGAAAGTTTTTCCTTTACCTGCTAGTTTATTTATTGCCTATTTGACGACACTTTTTCAGTAGCTGAGATTTTATAGTGTCGAATGAGAGGATGATAATTACAAATGAATTGGAAACGATGTGAAAGGAAGCGGCCGTCGCCTAATTTAAGGCGCTATCCAGGAATTTGCCTGGAGGGACTGAGGTAAACCACGAAATACCCTATTCCGTATAGCCGGTCTCCGGGGTCGAGATTTCAACCCGGCACCTCCAGAAGTCATCACTCGACCGATATGTTCAATGTTGGCTCCGTCTCTATACAAACATTCAAGTATTGTTGCCTTTCCTCCCACAACTTAATGAGAATACTTTGAGTTACAGTGTCAGATGCGTATCTGATCATTTGCTCGAAATGGCCCATGTTGTTGACTTTTACCGAGGACACAACTTTTTTACGTGGCCTCAGAAGTAAACATGTAGCGGATTAATGTCCGGAGATCGAGGTGGACAGGCCTTAAAGCACGCTGTTCCATTCCTCCGCTCTAGAAGAGAAGTTGTCACTCGCGAAAAGTCTTTGAAATATGTGGTGCCCCATAAAGCAGAAGCACAACCCTATTGTTGTTGTTTGTTTTTGAAAACATGTGATTTTCCAGCACGTTCAAGAAAATGGTCGAACTCGTCGAATCGGAAAAGTAAAATTTGTCCCACCACCTGGATATATGTCGGTCCGCTCCAGACGTTACCTGAGTTATGGAAAGTGCCTCACAACTGAAAATGCTTCTTTTTCAAAAAAACTGTGCGTCCTGGTCCAACTCGTTGACAAGATCTTCAATAGAATATCATTTCAAACGATGGTCCATTGACACAGAGCCGCCTCACCGAAGGTTCCGTGACTTATTCACGCAAACTAAGTAAATTATACCATTGCTAATCAGTTATTTACATATTTGTTTGATGTTCCTAATGTACACTGTCGACAAAAAGAAGTTCTGTAAACCGATTCATGCATAGGCGGGCACACAATGCATAATGCCAACTGTCAAATTAGCCGCAACTCGCCTCAGAACGCCACAAGACGAACACATCCAATCGACAACCATGTTTCAGGTTATGAATCTAGCCTAATGGTGCTTATGTAACTTCACAAAGAACGTACAATTCTAAGAAACATCTGACTGCGGGCATCCAGCATTCCAGCATGTTTGCCCGCTGGCTGACTACAATACCGCACAAATCGGCTGGCGTCATGAAACAAGATACTTGACCATGCATATCTGTGGGGAACATGGGCCCAGCCTAGCTTACACCCGAAGACCTTTCCTATTATTTGCCATCCACTTGCATCAGTGCTCGATCGTAGTACGTCAGTATATTAAGCCGTATATTGGTCGTCTTTAAAACGTGGTGCTGTTGAAATTTAAAGGCAGAGAACAGGAGGCGTACCATTTTTCTTTCAAAGGGCCGCTTTGCGAAATTTCCCTGTGTTTGGGTAAAAAAACTCCTGTTTTCTTTGTTGGTCCCATATACGCCTAGGACTCAAGTCTCTTCCTTTGAGATTTCGTAATCAAAATTTTGTATGCATTTGTAATCTATCACACTAGTGCGCTTATGCCCACCCAGCTCATTCTCCTTGATTTGAATTGTTGGTTATAGCGTATAAATTATTGAGCTGCACACATGTAATGTTCTTCAATAATTAATATCGGTTATGTCTTGTCACTCTCATGGGTATCAGAATTGAAGAAAATGGAATTATGACAAAACCTACGGCTGGCTGTAGGTTCTTCACTGTTCAATTATCTGCAAATACTATTTAATATTAGCAGATGGTCTACTTTTTTAAAAGATTCCAAGATGAATACTTGTACCTGAGAGACTTTAAACTTATCGTGACCGTTATACGAACCCGTAACCTTTATCAAGGTGGGGGCTGTTCTTGTAATGAAACATGACATGGCGGATGTGCGTACTCAAGTATATGGCCTTCTGCATAATTTATGATTGACAATGATGATTGTGCAGATAACACCCCTTTAACACTTCGAAGCCCGAAGTTCGTGGAAATTAAATTAAAATTAAATCCGTGGCGTAACAGCTCCAGAGAGCCAAAGCCGACTAGCTGGTGTTTATAAATTCATTTCCAGCCTCAAATAAAACAAAATGCATCTCCATTGTAAAAATGAATTGGTTAATGCCGTTTAAGTAGATTGTCACAGTTTATTCGGAGAACAAAACGAAACATGTATAAATACACTGTAGACGAATTGCAGGGTTATTGAACACACAGCCTCCATCCTCAGCCCTGCAGATGGAGGCGTAATGCTCCTCGGAAACATTGGTTTATACCTAGAAGTCCACACCCACGGTCGTCCGAAAAGGTGGCCTCCACCCACAGGGCCACACGGCATCACAATCTAGAAGACCACAGTGACGTCCTCTGTATTTTCAGAAGAGGTCATTGCGTATTCAGGTGTGCATACAATTGAAGTATTTATCGGCAATACATTCAGAGTCCAGTTACAGTTTTACACGAGGTGTCGCTGTAGGGAAGTTCGGCTCATTCAGCTTGGAGGATCAAGAAATAACTCTTACTGGTTGGTGACCCACATTTTGAAAACATTCGTCTAACGGAAAGCTTATGATGAGAGGTTCACAGGAATGTGGAGTTGGCACATCGAATTCCAATGCCATGCTCACAGATACTAACTTACGTATATAAGTAACTAGGAATGGGTGGATTAATTTCGCAGGCCGGTGTCATCGACATCTTTTAGTCCGCTGAACCATCTCGGGGGCTCAGAAAATGCTACAGTACTGCTAAATATTGATATTGTCCTTACTGCAGTGTGTCTAGGCATGCCGGATCATTTCAGGGGTTTTTTCTACCCGAAGCAGCAGCAGAGCTGGATTATCTCAGACTACAGTGATCTGGCTATGATGTGGGCGATCGGATTTAGATTCCCAGCAGGGCAGGCAATTTTATCTTCATCACAGCATCCAGACGGCCTCTTTTCTCATGGATGAAGCCCACCACTTACTTCCAATGCTGACGTCATGAATACATGGAAATGTACATCCGCTTTCCATACGTCGTCATGTTGAGGTGCTTACGCTGGTTCGAATTCTGATTATTGATTTCTAATTAGGTTAGAGGAGGAAGCTGACCGGTAACCAGTCTTTGGATAATGGCGTGGATACTAGGAATCTTTAAGTCGGGAACTAGAAGTTACCTTAGAGAAATATCATCGACTTCCAGTTTTGCAGGAATTGCACTTTGTAAGTCAGCGCCGGATTATGTCAATTCTTGAGCTGTAGAATGCATCTACGGCTTTCTTTTTTATGGATTTCGCCGTGTATGAAGGTAGTTTTCTTCGTGTATGCGTGCGTGAAATCTGAATGTCTAGTCCAGGTTAGGTTGTTCTTAGGTCCAAATGTTTTGTGCGCCAGCTCGTTCTTACCAGTGTAGAGGATCACTTCATTGTCCTTTAACGTGTGAATATGATGATTTCCACACACGTAACTTTGCTATACATTAAGGCGGCGAGAAGGCTCTTGTGCCCTTTTTAGTGGTCGATGCTTTTTTTTTTCGCCAAAGTTCTGAGGGTAAATGGCTACGAACTACTTACTCGTGATTGCTCGGACGTGTCTTTACTTTCAGAACACGTTCGCTGTTAATTTTTTGTCTTGTAAGTGGATATAAAAGAAGTAGCTTCAAAGAAATGTTTGTAGGGGTGCAGTGAAGTGTAATGAAGAAGATAATTTCAGT